TAGGGACTAGCAAAACTCAAGTAGGGGGGTGTGATGAGTATAGAATAGTGCACATCATTTATCTCTTTGCACCCATTTTATACTTGCTTTTGTGGAGAAAATGGGGGAAATTACATTTAATCTAATAATTAATGAAGTTTTTGTGTGATTGTTGGTAAAGAGTGGGAAATGGCATTTGTTAAGCTTCCATTAAGTTCTTAAAGGCAATGGAGAAGAAGGGAAGGCTTAACGGGTGGCTCGGGATATCATGAAATCAAGAAAAAGCTAAACATGTGAAAACCTACCATTAGATGTTAATCAAAACCTACCGATAGATTTAGTGCACTGGAATTCTTCTATTGTTGCCCCTACCAAAACCTACTGGTAGGTTTTGCCTAATGGAAAAAACCTACCAATAGGTTTTGTCATCGTTCTACTGGTAGGTTTTGCCCAGAAATGCCAGAAAGCTACAATCACAACTCCAACTGCTTCGTCGGCCCACCTCTGCTTCTCCCACACATACCCTAACATATTTTACATACAAGCATGCTCTCTTACACCTAAGGTCTGACTTTGGAAGAAAAATAATGGAACAGGAAGAGAGAGAAAGATAGTGGTTGGGGAAGCATTGAAATGGTAAGGCATGGCTTCTCCTTGCTTGTGCAAGTGTCCAATCCCTTTCCAATGATGGCAAGTCAGCTCTCACAGACTACAGAGGAGGCATGGATGAAAATGAAGCTATTCCTACACCATTTTTCAGCTACACACATAGTTTTAGAGAGAAAAGCTCAAGGAAGAAGATGAAGGTTTAGAGAGTAAAAGTTAGGTTTTTGCATTCCCTTCATCATTTTAGTTGTAAAAAGCTTTAAATCACTTGTAATATGTACTTCTTGCACTTTAATCTCCTTTATTTCAAGTGTATTCACGTTTAGCTACATATTCTTGTATTTACCATGTCTACATTTAGGTTTTTCCTTTCAAGCTTTACTTTTGGGTATGAAATGAACTTGTTTTTGTAGTTTAACTTCTCTTTGGATTAATACAATTTTTAATCTTCATTTCTTCACCATGTCTTTTTACATTGTGTATGTTCTTGAATCTATTATGGGTAGATAAGCTTTTGGTTGACTAATCCAAGGGAGATTTCCTAATGGGTGTGCTAAATCAACTCTCCTTCATTCTTCCTTTTAGGTTAAAGTGTTTGGTTTGACTAGGTTTAGTGCGGACGTGGTTGTGAGCTCTTGATACACCATAGACTTGTCAGGGAGTATGCTTGAGCCTACACTTCCACATTAGTCCCTCACTTCTTATGAATCAATTAAGCACCAAGACACCATTGGTAGAATGTCTTGAGTTGATTTGGTATTTCCATTGGAGTGATCTCTTCAGATTAGCCAACCTTATTTTCTTGCAATTTTATCTAAACCCCACTCACCAAAACACAAAACTCACACGATTTTACACTTTTCATTTCTTTACAAACCACCTTTACCACAATTTGACCTTCCTTCCTTGAGGAGACAACCTTGGAATACTCAATTTCAAGTAAAACATGACATTGCAAGTCTCTTTACACTTTGGGAGCACTTTTGCACGCTCATGCATATTTTCATTAACACATACGTTTTCCCCATTTCTAGCTTTGAATCCGAGGGAGAGTAACACTCACCTACTCATATAAGCCATATACACACTATTGGGTTCATGTTGGGAGATTAGGGTGAACCGTATCAAGCAAAACCCTAATGTAAAATTTTAAGTAAGAGAGAAGAGGGCTGGTTGGTGAAGTATGGAAAGACCATGCTTGGACTAAACTTGCTTGTGGAATTGTCCAACCTCTCCCTAATCATTCCAATTCAGTTCACACATGCTAAGGGAGAGGGTATGGACAAAAATGAGGAGTCTTACACTATTATTCAAATTTTACATGCTTTTAGAGAGAGAAGCTCCAAGGTTGAAGATGAAGTTTTAGAGAGAGAAAATTGAGTTTTTACATTTTCTTCATCATTTTCATTTTAGTAAGCTTTATTTTACTTGTAATCTTTTCCTCTTTCTCTTTAAACTCTTTTATTCAAGTTGTAATCAAGCTTAGCTAAGTGTTCTAGCATTTTCATTTCTACATTTGGTATTTTTTCTTCAACCTTTGTATTTTGGGTGTGAATAACTTTGTTCTTGTAGTTTAAACCTTTTCTTGCATCAATACATATTTCATGTTTCATTTCACTACCATGTTTCTTTACATTATGGTTGTTCTTGCATTTACTATGAGTAGCTAGACTTTTAGTTGGCTAATCCAAGAAAAATTTTCTCTTGGGTATATGAAATCGACTCTCTTTCATTCTTTTTCATAGTGTAAAGTGTTTAGTTTGACTAGGTTGAGTGCGGACGTGGTTGTGAACTCTTGATATATCGTAGATTTGTCATGGGGTATACTTTTGTCCAACACAACTATATTAGTCCCTCACTTCCTATGAATCAATCAAACTCCGAGACACCATTGGTTGAATGAATTGAGTCAATTTGATATTCTCATTGAAATGGCCTCTATGGATTAGCCAACCTTTCTTTATTGCATTTTTACCAAAACACAATTCACAAGATTTTCCAATTTTCATTTCCTTACAAATCACCCTTCAAAAGCATTTAACGTTTCATTCCCTGAGGAGACGACATTGGAATACCCATTCCAAGTAAAACACGACATTACAAGTCTCTCTACGCCTGAGGAGCACTTTTGAAACCACACACACGTTTTTGTTCACACACAAGGTTTTTCCCATTTTTTGCACGAACCCGAGGGAGAGTGACACTCACCAACTCGTATAAGCCATATACAAACAATTCGGGTTCGAGTGTGTGAAAATTAGGGAAAACCATTCAAGCAATAGTCAATCTACAATTGGAAGGACATAAAATTGTATGTATAATTGTAAGTCTCAACACATATGTCGTAGATAGAATACTGTTAGACAGTTGTACTTGAATGTTTTTATATACATTGAGTACATAATGTCATATGCTCATATCACGGATCCACTTACAAAAGGTTTGATAGAGAACAAGTAAAAATTTCATCAGTGGGAATGGGCTTAAAGCCTATTATTTAACCCAGAGTCAACATAATAGCAATCCAATTTAGCTAGAGATCCCAAGAACTAAGTTCAAAGGGACAACTGAATTATATGTAACTCAGAAATGCACTAAGGAGGTTTTTAACTTCTTTCCATTCTTATGATCAGATAGTGAATAGCTACTGCGAGAACTAGGGTAAGTTACACTTTTAATGATTTATGTGACTTGAAAAATTGTAAGTAAGGTATAGCAGAATACTCTCAATCTGAAATTACCGATATGAGTAAGAAGGGGCTATTTCTATAAGAATCGTAGGCTGATTATTCTAAATTATTAATGAAACCAAGTGATGTTCAAGGTCAAAATGAACACAAATGTGAGAACCAATTGTGTTTGAAAGGAAACTGTGTGAATTCTATTGTCTTAGTTTACAAAAACAACTAACAATTCAAATACATCAAATCCACTGATTAGCCAAGTAAACCCGATAGTCTTTAACTAAGAAAATTTCAAGACACTTGGCTACTCATCCTGATACAATAACCTTTCAACTGTAATTGAACTAGCACTTGTATTTTCATACATTGTATTTTCATTCATGTGGGGGGATTGTTAGAAATAATGTTTTTAGAACAATTATTTTGAGCAACTTTTGGTTTAAATAAAAGTATAATCCGCACCTCAAAATTAGTGGGAACAAATTTAAACATGTTCTCCTCCGTGAGGAGATTAACGTTGTAAATTTATTTGTTCAAAATCATTAAATATTGAATGAGAAATTATATCTCAAAGTGACCCCTTGAATGGATGGAATGAGTAAAGTTTAATGAAGTGCAGTGTACAAGGCTTGTCCTACATTGAAAGAAGACTAAAACTTTGATGAGTTAATATAATCATAGTTGGCTTCTTGAGTTGGGTCCCAATGGGTACCACACTTTTGTAAATGAAGCGAACACCTACACAACCTTAGTTACCACACACGCACACGCACTCGACCCGACCTGATCTAGCCGAGCTAAGGACAACAAGATCCTATCTTTTTTGGAAAAAAATTATTTGATGCGATGCGGGTTGTGGGTCAAAACAAATGGATCTGGATTCAGATCGCAGTTTTTCCCTTCTAACTAAAATTTAAATATCCAAACAGATTTTTAAATTTTATGTCCGTTAATTATTTGAATTTAGCACCGAAATTGTGTTTGTGTCTATTCAATCAAGAGGTGTCATTCCCTTCTTCATTACCATTCAGATTAAGGGCGTGTCTCTATAATCCGACTAGGTTCAACAAACAGTAGTATCTCATGCCTCTTATGGGAATCCAAACAGCCACCAAAAGTCTATAAATAAACTGTCTTACGGCCATTTTCAACACAACAAAAAGGACAGTAATCATCTGCATACTACTGCATATCTCTCTCTTTCTATATTATATTCTTGTTCGATTCAAGAATAAATATAGAGTTGTGTTTGGTGGAGGTTTGAATATTGAGGTGATGCTTCTTCATAAATGAAAATTCATTCTTTCTTAAAAGACAATTGTTTATCAACCTAAAACACGGAGAATGAGCAAATATGTCTTAAGGAAACTATGATTACACAAGGTTCGAATTATTTTTGGTTTTCTGAATTTTTATTTATATTATTGTTGTTCTAGGTCACTATAAGTGTATTACTGTTTCAACATTTTGTTTTACTTATTCTGTTTTAATTATTAGATTGCATATAACTATATACTTAGTGATGATAGAATTGTTACAGTAATTCTGATTATATATATACATTTTGGATAACAGGTTCGGCATAGACTTAACAGCTTGGGGAAGAGTCCTAGGAGTTGATGTGAAAATTTTTTGGCATCATAAAATGGATGTTTTTTTCCTTTTTGAAGCAAAAAAGAATTATTACTTTCAAGCAAAAGAAATTATTTGACAATATGAACCCGACGTCATTTAAGATGGTGTAGCATAAATTTGCTTACCAGAGGATGTGGTGGTTGGTAAAGCAGCTGTGAAGGGGAGCTCCATTAGTTCTTTAAGTTGAGAGTGCATGCTGTTGATGAACGCCATGGTTTCTTCTTGGGGTTCCTCTATCGCGTCTTTTAACTTGCTTAGTGCCATGCAATATGCTTCCTACGAATGACAGAACCCTCGTGTTACACAAACATGGCTCTAAAAACTATGCTTATGATCCGTCCGGTTTGGCAATCAATTCATTAATTAGGTAAAAAATTTCACAAACATAGATAAAGAGGGCATATTTCCGATGTGAGACTTCTTTGAACTAATGATATACACCATTAGTGGAATGCTTATGACTCGTCAGGAAACCTTTTCATCTCTCTCTCTCTCTCTCTCTCTCTCTCTCGTGTGTGTGTGGGTGTGAAGTACATAAACAACAAAAAATGGTATCTTACCATGAACTGGTCCAGTTCCGTTTGATCCACAGTAGAAAAACTAGGTTGATTATGAGCTTGCTGGCCAATTTTTTGAATTCTGCCAATGTCAGTGATGTTTCCTACGCACACCTGCAAATAGAATAGCATAATCATGCACGTATATTATGTTCATTTTTTCTTTTTCTTTTTTTTTAAGTATCTTGAATCTTTACTAGTCAAATAACTTTACAACTGGGTGAAATTGTCACATCCATTCTGAAATTCATGTAGCAGATAACGATAAAGATGTTTTCTTGACTGCTCTTCGGACTTTAATTAACTGTACCAATCAATTAGAAAACACATAAATCACATAACGGAGACTAAATAGAATAAATGCAAGTTTTTTTTTTTTTTGAAGTCTCGTTTTAGGTTATGTTAACTGTTCACAAGCAACAAAAAGAAAGATTGGGAAATTGATTGAGCAGCTTCTGCAAAGCACGAGGGTATGTGCTAGGAAGAGTCGTGCAAATTAATGCAGATACACAAAGATTATGTATATATGCTCTCTGTGTGTGTGACCCCGTTGGGGGGAGGGGGGGACAATACCTTCAAACAGTTCAAGTGAGTCTCAACCAGAAGCCCGTACAAAGAATGGCAAGCAATTCTCTTCTTCAGAATATCATCACCTTCCTCTAATGTTTCTCCTCCTCCTCCAACAATTTGGTGCTTCTGTTCTTTCTCGTTACTGTTAATTTTCGTTGCCATATTTCTAAGCTGGTCCACTGTAATGCTACTATAAATGCTATTTTATAATGAACAGAAGGTTTCTGTTCACAGGCGCTCCCATTATTTGGAAGTAGTTGATTGACCCATGCATGCACGACCTATACTATCAGTCAGAAGCACATATGGGGGAGTGGCCTTTTTGCTTCATATATCTCTCTTTTTACATACCCGAAAGGAACACTTCATAGTTTCTTGGAGAATGGGGAGATGTAATAGCACCTATACCCTCGTGACCAGTCATTTCTTCCCTTCTTTCTTTCCCATTTGCCGTACATTTTGGAGAAAAGTCATTCAAATTCGTTACTGTACAAACGTGTGCTTGTTTTTATTTTTTACTCAATATGTCTCTATCGCAGGGTTATCGCACTGATAAGAAGAATGTTGTACTACTGTTGATTTGATCGTGGACTACAGTGAGACGACCGACATGTGACACCAAAACAGGGAAGTGAAGATTATTTTTCCTTTAACGCTTGTGGCGTAATATTAGTTCATGGAACTTGAGAATTAGCGAAAGAGTGATGTAATTTAAAATTAAAAATTTAATTTAATTTGTTGATTTAATGATAGATTCGAAAACTTTACAGTAAGGCAACTAACTGTATGATATGCGATCTATTAGAACGACGCCGTTTTAAGGCTTTGCTCCATTTTTTTTTTTTAAACCTCACTCTCTAAACGGTGTTGTTTAATGATTCTCAGCCTCAAAACCAGATGAGGATCAAAGATCCTTTCTTCGCCATTCTGCAGAGCCATCAGAGATCCCTTCTTCGTCTTAAACCACACCTCTTCTTCGCATTTTTTCATCTCAATGTTTAAAACCCTTCAAACTTTGGTTTTCCATCCATAGATCTCTTCTTTGTCATTCTGCACAATCTTCTTCACCCAAATCTCTAACCCCTTTTTTTTTTTCAAAATCTCTCCAAATTCCTCCTTCTTCACAATTCTTCTCCGCCTACCATCTTCTTCGTCATATGCCATGGAAAGTTGCCAACGTGCTAAAGATTGATGGGTTTGTTTGAATTTTTTTTCTAGTTTAAATTCCCACCTTGATGGGTTTAAATTTTTTATTTTTTTGGTTTATTTTTCTCGTCTCGTTTTGATTTGTGTGGTTTATGGGTTAAATTTTGCTAGTTTAAATGTGTTAAATGAACATGATTGTTTTACTGAAATAAACATGATGAATGACATGGTACTAGGGGCCTGAGTATAACTCTGTCTTGCAGTTCGTCTCCCTCTCTTAAGTATGTATTGCTCAAGAATTTGCTTAATATTCATTATGTCTAAGACTTTAAGTGCATGGCCACATAATATGCCTTCCATTTCAAACTTCCGATAACTTATAAAACCCGGTAAATTTAAACTTTTGTAAACAAGGGCAAAATGGTAATTTTGCCGCTACAGTACAGATTAAAAATCTGAGTTTTTCTAGATCTCGGATGATGAAACAGACTTCACCGTTGGATTCCTCTCGTAAAATTTAGTTATCACGTAAAATTTCATCAAATTTTGAGATAGTTGAATTTTTTACGTTTTACGAGACGGTCGAGTCTTGGATGACCCAAAAACGGGATTTTAATAAAATTTAGAAAGTTAGAAAATAATTGAAGGTAAATTAAAATAAAAATATTTTAAACTTAAACCGGGACAAAATTTAATCGTTTCGGGACGAAAACGGACCCGAAAATAAAAGGATCGTATGGCGCGTTGTGGGCCAAGTATTCTAAGAGTATAAATAGAGGGAAAATCAGATTCTTCCCTCATTGCTTCAGCTGGCCATTTACGTTGAGAGAAAGAGAGGGAAAGTGAGAAAAAATTCTATTTTCTCTCTACGATCTACAAGGCTACGGTGCTCAAACCCACTTGGGACAAGAACAAAAGTTGGTCTCCTCGTCGAGGGCTACATAACCACACCAAAAACAAGGGATTTCACCGAAGTTTTAAAACCAAGCTTGGTGGAATCAAGGGCTTAAGGCAAAAATTTGAGTCTTAAGGGTTTCTACCAAGTGGGTTTACGCTTCAAGATGTAGGGTTGCTTGTTACTTGGATTTATTTTACAACCAAGAGTGTTATACGTAATGGGTAGATGGATAGCTATACATATCATTTGTCTATGGTTGTGAAATTGATGGAATTGGGTGATTGGTGAATTGAGTATGTGAATTTGACCTAATTTAAGCAAAATTCCAAGATTGGAATTGGTGGGTTACAAATATTGTGTGATTCTATGGAAAATAAGTGTTATGTGGGCATGCTATATGTTTTATATCATGCTTTGTGAAATGAGATGAAATTCTTGTGTGATAACATGAATTGTTGCCTTGAAAGTGTTTGCCAAAATGTCTATGTATGGATTGAGTTGTTATGATATGATGATGTATAACATGCTTAGAAAATGTGTTGAAAACGAATGTTAGTATGTGCTCATTGAGATATTGACATTGTAATGATTTATGAAATTTATATGCTTATAATATGAATTTTCATGGAACATGTTTAGCCTCTGGAGTTGGGCGTACCAGTACTGCGTACCGGTACAGTTTGACTGACAAATTTTTGTTCCCACTTTCAGTGTAGTGTTAGCCCATTTAGAGATCGAACTGGAAAAGTTTTGTGAAATACACTTTTGTAGACCTAGAAGTATAATATCTACTGTCAAAATTTCAGATCAAATGGATTTCAAAATAAAAGGTTATGATCAAAATATTAGGCAGTGTCCAAGAACATTTTTTTACCCAAATTCTCTCTAAAGTGTGCTTTAACTCCGGAACACTTTTTAACTTCTAATACACCCCATATTACTTCTCTCAAGGTTTCTCGACCTTCCGGATTCAATGAAAATCTTATTTTGACCTAAAAATATTTTGAACTTATCTAACAACCTCTTTCAAGCTTAAAATTCCTTCGCAACTTAAAGTTCACAACCAATTTGTCTCCCAAATATTTATTTCTACTATTATAATCTATTTGGTTCATTCTTACGTCATTACATATATTAGAATTACTAAAAAATTATATCATTATATTAATATAAGCATGTGGGGGTTTACAAATGCAGTCCGGGAGGGTGGTAGCTTATAGTTCTCGGCAGTTAAAGAATCACAAGCAAAATTACCCTACGCACGACATAGAGTTGGCGGTCGTTGTCTTTGCCTTGAAGGCTTGGCACCACTACCTGTATGGTGAACAATTTGAGGTATTTTCAGACCATAAAAGTCTGAAGTATATCTTTATACGGCGAGACCTCAATATGAGGCAACACAGGTGGATGGAGTTCCTAGAGGACTACGACTTCACTTTGCATTACCATCCCAGTAAGGCAAATGTGGTGACTGATGCACTCAACCGAAAGTCACGGAGAGTCCTAGCTTGTGTGGCTTCCCGGGAGTGGCATATGCTCGAGACTGTGGGACAGTTCGGCCTACGATACATGGGATAGGCTCAGGGTGTTTTGGAAAGTTTGATGGCTACGTTTTCCCTGCTGAGTAGAGTGATCGAGTCCCAGGGCAGGATGCAAAGTTATCATCCATTCGGGGCCGAGTACAGTCAAGTACAGGTGATGAGGGCTGGACCATTTACTCGGATGGTAGTCTCCGGTTTAGGGGAAAAATTGTGGTTCCTAGTCGGTGGAACTTAGAGAGGAGATTCTTAGAGAGTTCCATTGTTCCCGATTGCTGTTCATCTAGGTGGCACAAAGATGTACCATGATCTTCGTCGCCAGTATTATTGGAGCGGGATCAAGAGAAACATTGGAGATTTTGTTAGCCGATGTCTCACGTGTCAACAGGTCAAGGCTGAACACCATAGGCCAGCAGGATTACTCCAACCTTTGGAGGTGGCAGAGTGGAAATGGGAGCATATCACCATGAATTTTGTAACTCACTTACCACGGACATCGCAGGGACATGATGCGATGTGGGTGATTGTGGATCGGCTTATGAAGTCGGCACATTTTTTGGCTGTGCATATGACCTTCACACTAGAGGAATTCTATAGGTTATACATATGGGAGATAGTCCGATTGCATGGGGTACCCATATCTATAGTATCGGATCGAAATCTCAGGTTCACGGCTCATTTTTGGGAGAGTTTCTAGCGAGCCATGGGGACACAGTTGATGATGAGCACTGTTTTTCATCCTCAGACGGACGGTCAGTCGGAGAGGACTATCCAGACATTAGAGGACATGCTAGGGGCATACGTCCTAGATCTCAAGAGAATAAGTCATATATATTATATCTCATAGCATACTCCAAAACTCTCAAATCATAAGTTTAATCAAATACTCATAACTAAAATCAAATTAGGTTTTTTGATGTTCTAGATTCATTTTTAATGTTATTTTAACCTAAAAACACATATTTTTATGATTTATCTCAAAACCATAGTCAATTTACACCCGTAACACTAAAATTAATATTTTATCCATTAAAAAACACTATATGAGTTAAATGTCTATTCCAAAGTTTTCAGACCTCTTGAATTTAATAGTAATGTTATTTTGACCTAAAACAATTAACTTATTTACTTAGTTGCCCTTATCAACCTTAAACACCTCTAAAAATTAAATTTGATTCAAAAGTCAATATGTCCGTAACTCAAACTTACGCGACTATTCCTTTAACAATGATTCAAAATTTCTCTCACCATTTTAATCATTTTAAAAATACAAGCAAGTTAATATTATTTATATTTATATGACACATGGGATCTCACAATCCATCCCCCTTAAAATAAGTTTCATCCTCAAAACTTGTTACTAACCTACATGGTCGAAAAGATGTGGAGATCGTGCTTGCAAATCGGTCTTCAATTCCCAAGTAGCTTCTTCAATGCCATGGTGTTTCCATAACACCTTCACAAGAGGTATAACTTTATTGTGTAGAACTTGTTCCATCCTATAAAGAATTTGCATTAGCGCTTCATTTTAGCTTACGTCCTCTTATATTTGGATGCCTTGCCAATTAAGAATATATGAT